TCAGACCTTACTATTGTGTATCTGAAATAAATTCAAATCCAAATTGCTATTACTATTACTATATTTCTTCCTGACATTCCCGATCGACATCCCGATCGCCATTTTTGAGTACCCTCCTCCGACAATCTGTTCCTGAGGTCAATATTGATAGTTATGTAAGGTTTACTTTCAAAAACAGTACCTGAAGTTATTTATGGGGAGCCCCCCCCTCCCCCCTTGAAACAGATTTCGCTGACCATCTACACATCTTAAAGTCATAGGCTACGTATTTCAAACATTCCATAATAATTTTGACCTGAAAAAGGTGGTGTAAAAGATTTTATTGTTTTAAATGGTCCATTTAGATCCAAAATGTATTTGAAGAATGCACACCAATTTTTTCCCGGCACAACTTTTGGCTGCCAAAGATCTCAAAATGTTTAGACTTTTTTCAAAAACTCGAAAACGGTCCATATTTTATGAATCTTCTTTAGTAAATTAAAGAAAACAAAATTCTGCGTCGGAAGAGGGTACTCACAAAGGGCGATTGGGACGTCTGGTCCGTTAGTGATTTCAAAACTTTAAGAGCGAATATAAACGGTTTGTCGGAGGAAAGACTGGACGAGACATATCTGTTGGTGCGCTTTATCTGCACACGAGTTATGCACAATTTATACTTGTGTCCTTCTCCGGCTACTTTTCCAAGAGACATCGCCGGTGTACAGTTAGGGGGGGGGGGGCTATTCTCGTTACAACAATCTGACTCAATCAAGCCGTTCTGTTATAGATCGGTGTAAAACCCGGAAGATACAAATTTTTGCGTGCAAAAAGTTGCTCCAATATACATAAGTACAGAAACGTGCGAGTAATTAAGTGCAAGGTCATAAGGTGTGTCAATTATAACGCTAAACTTACATTACATTGGTCTGCAATGCTTTTGGTTACGATTTCGGATGTGAGGACCATCATATGTCACGTGAATCGCCACTCCAGTTCGGGCAGATCCAAAAATGACCTGCCTACCCAAATTGGATCGCCTTACTACCTAAAACATCCCCTTACTGAAAAGCCACCCTTATTTCAAATTGGGCCTCATTTCCGCCTTTTCTCTTTGGTCTCTAATAAAACAAACGTTTCTGATGCCCCCCCCCCCCTGCCATTTTCTTGATGAAATATTTGAAAATCAGGCCGCAGAATCGGTAGGGTCAAAATGGGCCTGCGAGTCAAATTGAAATCTGTTCAGAGGAACAAAATCGCAATAGTTCCAATCCAATCCCAGTTCTTCGCACACGTACAGCAATCAGATTGTACTTGTCGTGCTTAGTTTTGGTAATTACGAATCAGCTTCAACCAATCAAATTGAAATTACGTCACTTGATCTTTACTATTTCGATGAGCCTGTTTTGTACGAAACGTGATTGATTAAACTAGTGCAACATTTGTTAACCTCGCGACCTTGTCTCGAAATTCCGAATCGAATTCGCTGATCCACTTACATTCATTAAGTTAAACCTCAAACTTGACATTTCGAGCCAAACCTCTCGGACGAACAAAGAAAATCTGACACAGAACAATAGTGGTGACGAATGGTGGCCCAGCCACAAATTCCATCATCGTGAATAAATCAGTTCGAGCGCATCCTGTACTTAACTTATCCTTGCCGACCTTGTAACCACAATCTTGAGAAAGTCGGTTATATACAATGGGTATTTAAGTGTTTTCGATTTCTTATTTTACGTTTCACAACTTTTGGGTGGCACTACCGGACCTGCCGCCTACGGTAAACTAGTCTAACAATGACCCCCTTTGTTTGAATTAGAAAATTGACATTTAGAAAAGTCCCGGCTAGAAATAAGCGTGAATGGTAATTTCTCAAATGGGAAAAGGTTTTGCCCGAGGATTTTGAGTAAATTTGTTTAAGTGCATCCATCGCATTCTTTTCGATTGATCCTAATAGCTACCAAAACTTTGTCCACACTAGATCTGTTCTTTCTAGATACGAGGCGTTTTATTTTGTATTTCCACCTATTAAAGGAGCCTACACTAATAACATCAAAGTCCAGCGCTGTTCCAGCTGTTTCATTTTTTTACGCTTCAAAAAACGAAGTACTGCGCTGTTCAGCTCATCATCTAAGGTAAACCTGCAACTCCTGGGATGTGTTTTAGATGTTTGAACAAAAAGAAGTCGCATGGTGCAAAATATAAGGTGTAGGGTGGACGCCGCAATTCTGCGAAGCGACAGTTTGGGCCCATGTTCGCCATGAGTAGGTGAACAATTTGAGTTTTCTATCGTTTAAAAATGAGGATTCTAGAGTACTTTACAATTGAGGAACAGTCAGTGTAGGTAAACAAATTCCACTTCAGTAGGTCACCAGGTTTGGTTTCACTGAAATAGCGGTAGGATCTGCCGGTAATGTAGAAACTCTATCGCGTGCTTGGATTGATAAGATGGCGATGGAACTTCCCAAATGAACTTCTCTTGCACAATATTGATGAAATCTAAAAATATGCGGTTTCCACTCAGGAATGTCGTTGTAGAAAGCAACAATCACATATGCACTAATGATGAAAAAAGTAAGTCAGAAATAAGAAGCCTAAAAATCATTAATCGAAGTCGAAAGGTAATGCGCAACTTTTGGTACATACCGAAAACGGCCTTAGAACTTGTAACATATATTCGCAAACAGCGTCAGCGAAGTTTTAAACCAAATAACAAGAGAGAAACTTTACCAAACTTATCGTTTTGTATAAAGAAGGGCGTGCGAATTGAATTAAAAGGAATCCTCTGCACGACCTCCGTCGGCAAAACAAAGAACTATTGTAGTAGGAAAGCTATAGCATTTGGAGGGTCTCTATCGGTAAACTCAAAAACTAAGGTAATAAGGAATCTACTACAGAAATTAACTTGCATCTTAAACTAGTGGATTACAAAAAAATAACTAGATGGCGTAACAATACTAATTTAAGTAAAACGTAACACATTTAACATGTGGCACAGAAAGCAGTACAAACAAAATCCACATTCCAAACCGAAGAAAAGTTAATTACAAAACGTCCCTTCTCATTTTGCTAAGACACAAAAGCTGCACTCCGCACGAGATGAGACATCAGCATTTTATGTAAACTGTAAACAAAAATTGTGGCAGGAACAAGGTGAGTGAGTGAAATAATAAAATGATTACTATCTGTAATTACACTTTCAAAACAGAGCAAACAAAATAAACATTGTGAAATCAGGGACGCATGAGTCCCTGGAATTTTTTTAACCCACGCTAACTCTGCGAAGTTGTATATGTACAGGGTGGCCAAATAAGAATGCGAGGTACTGTATCTGGGAACCTGTCCATCGTAGAAAAAAAAACTTATTACTAAAACGGCCAAAACCCGGAAAATATGTTTAAGTTTCTGAAATGGCCGGTAAGGGGCGTAACTGCAATCTGGAATCTAAAAAAGTGATTTTTCTGTGAATTCCGCTATATTAACCTAACAAAAAATGTCCGGTCTTTGAAGTTGACGATAATCTGAACCTTTTTTGTTTGACAATTTTTCCTGTATCTCTAAAAATGAAATGGTGGGGGGTATTCAAACGTTTCCGTAAAGAACACCCTGTATCTTCGAAACGACTGAGCCGATTTTAACAAACTCGGGTTAATTGAAAAGAGTTATTCTTCGGCTACAAATATTATAATATTTGAAGTTTTGTTAGTTTCACGTATCTCCGCTTGACGGCTTTTTTCGACATTCCAACAGAAATGGTTAATTTTCTCAAAAAAATTAAATGCGTTGGTTTGATTTTTTTGTCATGATGCCTAAACAAGCTCGCGAAAACCGCATCTCGGGCGTTTCGCATTTGGTTATTTACAATCTTTCAATTTCGGATTGACGGACGAACTTTAATTACGGATTCTTTGACGTGAGCTCTATCAGGAAATTGAATGACCGTGGTTTACCAGCTGACGGCTTCACGATTAATCGTCGAAAGATTATTTCGGACCACGCACTTGACGCCTAGTGGTTCAAAATTGACTGCCTTACCGCTATCTCTCCTGAACGCGTCCATACTTTTCTTAATTTTACAAAACCCGTCTACAAATGGTGCTAGTAGGTTAAAGCGGAATAATCTTTAATCATTAACCTTCGTGTTTCTCCCCAATGAGTGCGTGTAACGGCCATCTATCAAAACCATCATCAAAAACAGCACTATGAGTAATACTGATTTAGCTGTTTTGGTCAGGTAGACATTAAGATTGTGTTACCGTCCGTCAGAGTGGACCTGATAACTCTTGCGCACCAATAAAAAAAATCTGACGAAACCTCTATCCGGGTCGCTCTTAGGGTTCGAATAAACACACAATTTTAATAAATTTAAACATTTATTCCGAAACATATGAAACAATTAAAACGAAATCCCTGAAACAAGAAGACAAGTGCGGGGTGGAAATAATATACCCCGCACTTAATTGAAATTTCAAGCTTGGCCCTTCAGATGATAAACCATGGTGATTTAAGACCTTGCATGCTTCAGCTTGAAATCAATCGAGAGCTTGTAATTTTAAACATTTAAGCATTTTGGACCTTAATTTGAAATTAGAAACTAGACGCTTGAGCTTCAGAACTCAATAGTTTATTATGTAAATTGAAGCTTCTTCTCAAGTGTCTAGCCTACTTTGTTAACAACTTCTATCTTCACAGCTTCAAATATGACCTGACAACTGGAGAATGCATTAATACCGAAATCTAAAAAGGATGGGTATGCAAATTACCGATTCGATTAGCATTATGCTAATTGCTTTTTCTACAAACTGATCGTAGTGGCGAACGAAAATCCTTGATTGATAATTATCATGTACTACCTACCGAAATTATGGAGAAACCCCTTCACTGGCTGGCACCATGTCACTATATAATGACGCGCTTGAAATTGTCTAATTAAAATTCCTTAGAAATTATGACGTCAAGGGCGTCTTTAACCGAGAGATTTGGCCAAACAGGATCTAAAACAATTTTTTTTTAATTGCAGATCGAATGTACAGCCGGTTCGAGAAGCAAAGATATGATGGATGGTTTAACAACTTGGCGCATCCCGAATGGGGATCGGTTGGTAAGTGGCGAAAGCGAGAAATTTATTACAACAATTTAATTGATATACAATCTGTAATTATATGCGGATTCGCTCGTAGCACATGCCTGTTTTATAAATAAACTTCACGCATAGCCTGTGTTGTAATAGCAACAATCACCTTGCATTGAATACATAATTTAAATTATGCGGTATGATGAAACGTAATTAATCGGACCTAATTGTTACTAATGTTTGGGTGATATCACTAATTTCACGGTGATTTGTAGGTACGTGCCTGTGCCAATTAATTACACGTGGTATCTATCAGGTTTAGGCAATCTTAATTAATATGGGCTACATTAGAAGATGTTGTTTATAAAATCGTCGTCTATCGTTTATTCATGATCCTTGTGAAATTTTACTCAATTTGAGGTTAGCGTCCTAGTTCTATTCACCTGTTGCTTGATCTTAATTTTGACAAGTTAATTGCCCACTATATTTTAGTTAATTACGTGTGGTTTGTTTTTGCTCTTCAAATTATGCGCAAATATAAGATTTGGTCGTGGGTCAGGGTGAGTCATGCGTCTTGCGGTCACCAATTTGAGGTATGCCAGGTCTGACCTACCGAAAAGCCTTGATCCTCTTGTAGGTTGACCGAGACTGAGGAAAGATGCATGTGTTGGACTTGGCTTGAAAGTCGACAAAAAAACGATAGTCGCAAATTGACCGGAGAAACCACTTTTTGTAATAAATTTATAACCATTTTTCAAGAAAGTTACAAAATCAAAATATGGTACAGTCCTCAAACAAATAAATTTTAGATTTATCGAAGAAATCCAGTTTCCAAAATGATACGAAATGATGCGTGGCCACGTTCTCTATTGCTAGCATCAACAATCTCCTTAAATGTTAAAATTTGAGCACGAAAATGTAATGTCCGTTTTCTCTTTACCAAAATTTATAATTTACATATTAGACTCAGTTAGAAGACTTTCGTGTTTAATATTAAACTGCAGAATGGAAAACTTCTCATAATTAAATCCCTACACGAATTTTATTTACGATGGAATAATTTTGCTTTTACAGTATCAAACAGAAACAAAGCAATTATATCGAAACATTCAAGAATATCTCTATTTTTTCGATTCAAACAACCCAAATTTTTACTAAACAAAATCCCCGAAGAATCCCATCTGTATTGTAAAAAAATACACGGTACCCTATTTATAAGACGTCTACACTATCCTTTAGTCGTCCAACCTTGGAAATTCTGGTTTGCCCTTTAATATTGTTAAAAATTCGCACGGATTAAAATTAAACTTATTTCTTCAACGAGTTTATTTTGTGAGAGATAGGTACTATACACCGTTTATTTTTATGAACGGTAACAGTTTCTCGTGCTCGCTTTCCGCAAATACGTTTCTTGTTATATCTAGACATTCTATTGTTCATGTTCACTATGAAGCGGTAGGTGTTAATTTATCTATGTTTAACAAAATACAAATTTTTGAAACGGCAAAGCGGACACCTGATACACCAAAGAGTCAATAAACTTCCCTTTTTCGAATTTATAACGTTGGTTTACTTTGACTTTCTACACAAAGAAAGTCAATGGTTGGTTGGACCATCCATTTTTTCATTTAAACGTTCTTGATTTTTGTCAGTGTTATCGCCAAACATTTCAACCAAATTTGAGAGGGTTCGGTCGCTCTGTTGTCAATTTATAACCAAAAAATTTTAGAAAAAAGGGCCCCAAAATAAAGGAATATAGTCAACCCTCGTATCTACAGATCAAGATTCCTGATTTTAGTTAGTTCAGACTATACGGCTACACTAACAAAACAAAAGGTTAGTGGATGCGCAGTTTGGACGTAGAAATCAAAAGAGGAAGCATAGAGGGAGGAAGGGGAGAAAGGTGAGACCGCAGATGAGAGAAGGAAACGACAAGGATAATAGATGGAAGTAGCAAGATAAAATTGAGTAGAAAAATGAATAGGAAAATGTAGAATGATTGACATGGACGTACCAATTCGCGAACGTGGATAAAAAAGGAAGAGAGAAAGATGTATATAACTAGCAGTAAAACTAAGCACTCTAGTAAATCTAGGGAATCTGGGAAATCTGGGGAATATTGTGAATCTATGGAATCTTGAGAATCTGGGGTATATAGGGGATCTTTGCAATCTACAGAATCTAGGGAATTTAAAGGATCTCGTGAAGCAAGGGAATGTAGGGAAAATAAGAAATCTAGGTATTCTAGGAATTCTAAGGAATTCCACGGAATCTAGGGATTCTAGGAAATCTAGGGCGTCTATTGAATCTAGGAAATCTATTGAGTCTAGGGAATCTATGCAATTTACGGAATTTTGGGAAATCTGAGGAATGCAGGAAATCTAGAAAATCTAAAGAATGTAGGGAAACTTACGACTGTAGGAAATCTAGGGAGTCTATTGAATCTAGGGAATATAGCGAGCCTAGGGAATCTAGGGAAAATTAAGAATCTTGGAAATCTAGTGAATCTGGGGTACATAAGGAATCTAGTGAATCTAAAGAATATAGATAATCTAACTAGGGAATCTGGGGAATCTAGGGCAACCAAGGACTGTAGGGAGTCTAGGGATTCTAGAGAATTTAGGGAATATGGGGAATATAGAGAATCTTATTAGGAAATGGTGGGAAGACATAACAGGGATAGAGGGATTACGGATATAATTGGAAAAATGGGAATGACAACGTTTAAAACTAAGAAGGTCTAAAAGGTTTCGGGAAAAAAGGCATGATTTCAAACCTATCAGAGAACATAGAGGGGAGTTGTTGACCGAAAAAAGAGTATGAACCATAAATAAGGGTAACGCTGACAGCTCGAAATTTGCATTGATATTTTTTCTGAAATTTCGTTGGGAAGTTTTGGGATTTTAAGGGGTAGAGCAGGTTAGGCACAAGATATCGTAAGCCTGCAGGGTGTCAAATTAGAGAATTGATTCTTTCCGATCATTTGCAGGATAAGTGGAACTGTAAAGAAAGATTTATAAGCCGTGGTGGCAATTAAGAATCGCCGTTATTCTACGTATTTCAATTCAATTGAGTATTGTTTTTGAATAGCTTTAGGAAGCCTTCTGCCTTAGGTTTCGGAGAGTTGTAGACAAAGAGGTATGTTTTAGTTATAAAAAAGTACGTAGCTAAGACTTTATCGTAGCCATAAAATAGATGTACGTCAACAAAGGTCAAAGCATGAGTAATTACAAAGTACGGCCCAAAGCTCATTCATTTCGGGGGGACTTCCACTAAAATTCCTTCTTGGACTTAATCACTAAACGTCATATAAAAAAAACGTGTGGTTAATTAACACCAAATAGGGAGGGAGCTGTATGGGCAGTGTTTTAGGGGGATTCGGGGCAAAAATTTCAAAGTGAACTCACTTTTTGTGACCCCAAAGAATTTCGACAATAGCGGAGGTTACTATTTTATCGGACATTACAGCCTAATTTCACGCGAGTTTTTTAACCAATCTTATCATTGAAAACGAGTGAAAACCACCGGAAGCAAAGGGGATTTCTTCAGTCAAAGTCAAATTAATACAAAGGCGTAAAGAAAATGTCTGTGCCAGTAAAAGGCGAAGGCAATGTTACACTAAACTAGCTTGTGGAAAATGTCTCCCTTTTTATTCGGCAACAAAAAATATTTAAAACCTTCATAAAAGTAGTAAATTGGCGTAGTAACAAACGTTGGAGGTAACCGTTCAGGAAAATTAGTAGAAGAAAAAATTATCAGGCGGATAGGTTCCATACTGTAACTCCACTAGTTAATCTTTCAGTTTAATTTTGGTTCCAAAGTGCTGGGAGTTAGCAAATAAGAACTTCATAATTTGCAAAGGAAGTTATCAGATTAATATTGAGGTAAGTATACAAAATGTTCAATAAATTTTTAAATTGGCAAAGAAACAAAGTAACGTATATAGCCAGACGTTTACCTTTGCCCAGTCAATCGCTGATTAATAATAAGCTTTCATTCGTGGTTTCATAATAGTCAATAGCGTTTCTTAATTTTTTCGAATGCTCAAGCAAACGAATATGGGGCCGCGGAGCATTTAATTACAGAAGGCTAACATAGCGAAGATTGAAGATAAAGTTAGTTATACTAACAAGCACGACAACATCCTTTTGGCACTTTTGTGACTGGTCCAAACCACACGTTGTTATAGTTATAGTTGTTATACCACATTCTTTCGGTTACAATTTGTAATAATCGACTTCTGGGCCACCCAATTTCATTGAGATTGATTTATGCGAAACCAAAAATACCATAGGTATGCCATAACTAGGTAAAATTGTAATCGAAGTTGTTTCAATTTTTATGCGTGACGACATTTACTTGGCATTCAAGATCGCTTTTGGGTGAATAATTTTTTTTTTGCAAACTGGGCCATCGAAGAACCACAAAAATGTCGACATGACCTTGGGACCTATCGATAAGTGTAGATAATTTTACTCTTGGAGCTGATAAAATCGCCCATCAATACAACTGAAAAAAAAAGTTGATTCCCTGTCGATTTGCGATTAAGGACACTCACGATTCCCATCCTGAAACAAACGTGAGTTGGTAATTACATAACAGATGATGTAGGTGCGATGATTTTAATTGAAATGTGCTGTAGGTGGATGTCAATAGTGATTTAAGTGGTAGTAAAGCGAGCGTTCTTGAATTTATTGGATACAATCTAATTAGATAATTAACGACCAGTGAGTTTCCGGAACTTCTTTCAGTGCATCATGCGAGTTGCTCTCGACGAGTACCTGAAATTTTTTACAATTAAGGTAATGTTTGTCTGGGAGATGGGACGGGTACAACCCGAAATTAATTGCGAATCCCCCCCAATTTTATTGTCGATGAAAAGATTGTCATACACAAATTACAGCCAAACCTAAAGAAAAGTACACGAAATGCAAATGGCGGGACTTACAATAAGAGAGAAAAAACGCAATTAAAATCCTCACTCTTTGAGTTTATAGGTGAATCCGTCCTAATTATTGCAGAATCCC